CGGCAGTTCAGCAAGATGTATCCTTCTTGGATGAGCCGGGGGTTGCCTTCTAGATATGGCGGATGATAAGTGCATGCTAAGTTCTGGTAAAGCATTGCAGGTTATATAGCACGTGGTTGTATATGGTTGCAAACCATTACATGCCCTGGTAACTTGTTATATCTTTTATAACTGCATGAATGTGTTGGTGCTAGTTATCATTTATTTAATAAGCTTTAATATCTTTTATAAAAGATATTAAAACTTGTAAATGTTGTGGTGGCAACTACAACCACTTAGCTAAGCACTTAAGCAAACCCACTCAACCAGTTATCCTTTTTTGTAACCACTTATGAATGTACTTCGCAACCAGTTAGCTAAGTGGTTAGAGGTCGGTAAAATGCTGGATTTTCAATTTCTCGAGTTTGAAATTTTGAATATCAATTTTGCAGTTTTTTGATTTTGAGACTGGATCATGGGACTTTACCGATCAGCCCACAGGCTTTTCCTGCAGAAATGAGCAGCCATTCGGCTTGTAGATTTGGATGATCAGCTCAAAGCTTTATTGCTTGGTGAAGTCACAAGCTGTATAGCTTATATAAGGTTTTGTTGGTCAGCCGGCCGGCTTTTGGTGGCAGAAGTGACAAGCCGTCGGCTTTCGAAAGTGGTAGTTACAATCAGCCGTCGGCTTTGCTGATTGCACATGCCACATGCCTCGCATGGCACTGAGATTTTAGCAGATGTCATTGTTCTTGCCCGCAAAGTTGGGCTTTAGGTTTCCTGCCGCACGAAGTGCTTGATAGCTTCCCCCGTCCTGCAACACTGCAACCATGGAAGTCCCCGCCAGCGTGAAGCTTCAGATGGACGAGATCCTTGCCAAGGATATGGCCCCGGTGACCCAGTGGAAGGCAATTGTTGACCTCCTTCTCCAGCACAGCCTTGCTTGGAGAGCTACCTTGGAACCGAGTATGCTACTTGTGCATCAATTGAACCGGTCCGGTTTGGGGGTCAATGGGCACAATTGCCATTCCAAAGCAGCCGGCATCCTCAAGGCAGGCTTCGACAAGTCGTACCTCCACAGCAGCAGCTGCCGCTGAGATGATTGAAAATACATGTATATATATGTATATACTGATAAAACTAGCATTCTGAGTAATAAGCATGCATATTCGCACCCGAGGCTTCCAGCTTTCTGAGAATCCCGATCTTCGGGCGAGGCAGATCGGTTTCAATCAGAATCTGGTCGAACAGGCCGACGGCTTGCTGGCCCCGCTGAACGGGACGGAGCGATACCTTTCGGTCAGCTCAGGGCATACGACACAGTTTCTCAAAGCCCTCTGGGCTGGCTGCCGCACCAGCGAGGGTTCGCTTGCCACGAATGGCCTTCTCAGCAAGGAGTTGCTTTGTGGTAAGGACCCTGTCCTTCGGGACTTGCTGGATGTAGGCTGGTCGTGGCTCATCGTCTCGTGGAGAGTTGAGGAATGCTATCCGGACCTCCCAAAGCTTGCAGAGCGAGCTCTCAACTCCAGCAACTCAGCCTTTCAGGCTCAGTCCGAGCTGGAAATGGCTTTGCACATCCTGGATCTCGCTGCAAACATGAAGCAGCCTGACTTCAAGGCTTTGGCAGCTGAAGCTTGTCATGCCGGCCCTTTGAAGAACTGTTCCTCCAGCATCGCCAAGTGGCTTGAAAACTACAGCAACAAAGGGGCTCTCGCGAAGTTTCTCGGCATGTTCACGAAAGAGTTCGGCGACAACTCGAATGTCGGGGAAGAGTTCTGGGCCATGGTTGCTGGTCCCATGTCGGCAGAGTTGCCTTTGGTGAGGCTGTGCATGCTCACTTGCAATCTCACAGCCCCAAAGAACAAGATCCAGGACGGATATGCTCGTTTGTTGACCCGATCGGATTGGGAGACCATTAAGAAACAGAAGATGCAGGCACAGGTCCATGATCTGGAGAAGAAGCTCTTCCAGGCTTATCTGAAGGTTGAGGCAAACATTTCGGAGCTAGCAGCCGCCAGGGCTTTCGGTATCCTGTTAATTCGATGCTGCCTGCACCTCCTGCAAAAGCAGAAGATGGGCAGGTTGACGAAAGTGTTCGAAAGCATGGATGCCATTTTTCAGGCCTTTGACACACAGGTTGCTAGCATCCAGTTGCCCCTTCCAAATGCAGCAGATGCTGTAAAGCCTGAAGCTTCTTTGCCATCTTCGTCCTCCAAGCCGGCAGGTGGGGCATCCCAGGCAGGGGGACTTGTTTCGCTAGGACAAGCATACGATGCTTTGTTCTTGGCTAGACAGAAGATGGAGATCGACATCGGTAAGCACTACACGTACCAGAACAAGCTGTGGAAGCTTCGAGAAGCAAACAGCAACCAGCTCGTGCTGGAGCTTCTTGACTTGTTCGAGAGCGAGGAGGCGATCGTCGAGACCAGCCAATGCTGGAAAGTTTTGCGAATTTCCAAGCTGCCGGCTCCTGTGTTCATCGACAAGGCACTGGCTGCCTCCAGAGAGCCGCATGCGAGTTGCACTTCAGAGGCCATTCTGGCTGAAGTGTGGTTGACCATGCTGAAAGCATGCCCCAAGTTTCAGCCCAAGAACCTCTGGAGCATGATTGGTGTGGTTGCCACCAGCCGAAAGGCTTATGCCCTGAAGAAGATCCCTGCTGGCGACTTGTGCCTCTTCCCTGCCACCGATAGCATGGCCAAGATCACGAAGAAGTCCCCCAACGATAAGAAGAAGAAGATGGGAGAGATCACCTTCAAAGATGTCGATTACTACATCCTCCCCCCAAGCATGTTTAAGACATCAGAGGGTAGCAAGGTCTCGGGCTGCATTGCGCCATACTGGTGGCTGGATCCCGTCAAGGAGCCCAGCATGGACTGGGAACAGAGAACTCATGGCGGCATGACTGCTTGGTGTCTGGTCAACAGCATGACCTTGGATGAAGGAACCGTGCTCACTTACCCCCACCCAGAGGAGCCCGAGGCATCGGAGGACACGAAGGCGAGTCAGAAGAAACCTATCGCCAAGTCGGGTGAGCCCGCCAGCAAAAAGGCCAAGAGAGCCTGAGGAACACATTGTGCCATTGATAGCATCTGTTGGCATCGTGGCTGTTTGTGTCCGGCTGGATTTTGAAACCATCGGCTTGCCCAAACATTTTGAAGCCATCGGCTTGCCCAAACATTTTGAAGCCATCGGCTTGAGAAGCACAAACCCGATTTCGCTGTTCCCGTGTCCGAAAATTGATGCTCTGCAGCATGCACTGAGCATGGTATCGGGGTGCTGCATCATGTCTTTGCATGTTGGTTTGTGTGCGAACTCGTCGTTCTCCGCAGCTGTGAGTCGTGCAGGTGTGGGGATATACAAGATTGCAATCTGCCATGTCGGTCTCCTTGTCCGTGAGGCATGTCATCAAGTTTGACGACACAGACAGAACTTGGTCGGTCCCTGCTAGCTTGGTGCACGAGGATGACAAAGGCCAAAAGTGGCTTCAGCTCCGATCCACCAATTATAGACTGTGCTTGCTTCTGGGATGTTCAAGAGCTACCAGAAACCCATCCCTCAAAGGAGCAGAGGGTCTCACTTATGTGATTGAACAGCGAAACAAGCTCTTAGGCTTGCTGCCAGAAGAAGACAAACTCTGCGATGAGGATGATGCACCCGCAGAACCGAACAAAAAAAAAAGGCGACAGGTGCACAACAACCTGGAGCTCGAGCAAGTGGACGTCCAACTCCCAGAGGGCTTCGGCACGATAGCTGTTCGATCGGTGGACAAGGTGAGTCAGGACCTTCAGGTTCTGTTGGAAGCAGATTGCTTGCACAAGCTTTTTGGCTGGATCAAACACAAGCGACTGGCTTTTGATGACCCTTCCAGGCCATATGTAAAGTCCGGGAAGTATGCCAAGAACAGGCAGCCTTTGCAACATGACGATGACGATGAGGATGATGAGGAATCCTACCATGCACCAATAGTTGATTTGTCCGACGACTAATCCAAGTAGCGGCTGTACATTATATGTATATAGCCACTCACAGCAAATTTGCTTTCGGGCAGATGCATGCATCGATCCGAGGCATGCAAGGGGATGGGGAAATGTGTCGTGCAGTTTTCTTTGTTTCTGAAACCGAATTTTAGGAACTTTGGTCCTGCATCATGCATCAGCCCATTGGGCTTTCAATTTGGACTTGCAAAGAATCAGCCCATTGGGCTTTCAATTTGGACTTGCATGTATCAGCCCATCGGGCTTTGGGTTTGATGTTTTTCTTTGCATGAAACATGAGTCAGCCCATGCACTGTCTCTGCTTATATAGGACTTGCATGCAGTGCATGTGCATTCATGATGACTTGCATTTCCAAGACTGGGGCAGTGTAGCTGATGTGCATGCATGGGCTTCTAGCACAGATGTTGTGCATGCCACATAGCAACCATGCAAGGAAACACCACCACCACGTGGACGATAGAGACTGTCCTGTGATAGGTGGCTCCTTGCACAAGCATTTTGCTTTTGCCGAGCCGTGTCAGCCATGGATGGAGCTTCGAGTGCGGCTGCAGCTCCGGCCGATGCAGGTGCAGCTCCTCAGCCGACTCCCGGCTTGGTGCCAGAAGCAGACACTGCAGCTGCCGAGCCATCGACGACGACCACAACAAGCAAAGCTGCTTCTGTCGTCGGTCCAGATGGTTTCAGCAGCTATATGCAGTCCTGCATGGAGGCCATGGAAGGGCTGAATGGTGACTTAAACAGCATGTCAGCCAAGCCATGGTTCTGGTACTCCGGGACTCTGGTTCTCGACGTCACCGAGTACGAGGAAGTTGCATGGACTGAGGAGGAGATGCTTGGCAGCCCGTGGGGCTTTACTGCTCGCCAGCCTTCGGGCTTTCAGTCTGTCAGGTGCAACATTCTCTAGGGTTTTAGGGTTTAGGGGTTTATAAGGGTTCAGGGGTTCAGGGTCTATAGGGTTTGAGGATATAGGGCTTATATAGGGTTTAGGGGTTTAGGGTTTATAATAGGGGAAGTTGGGGGTTTAGGGTTTGAGGGTTTATAGGGTTTCTGTATATGTTCTTATAATCGGCCCTGTTGAAGATGGGGCCTTTGGGTTGTTGGGTTTGCGGGCTTTCAAAAGGACGGCTCTCTTCGATCGAGCTCGCGGCTTTTACCACCCTGGCGACCTACATGCCAATGGGGCAAGAATCTGGAAGAACTATGCGAAGAGTGTGTACATCTGGCACAGCAAGAAGCATAGTGCTTTTTACTGCTCTGAGAAGGTAGTTCTGGACAGTTGCCCCGACATGGCATGGGAAGGTGTGAAGATCTTCTGCAGCTTCCAAACTGGAGATTTTCCTGGAGCCATGGGACCAGAGATGACCGGTGGGATTTTCGTGCCATGGTGGAACAAGGAGGTTTCCCAGGTCGTGCAACTCCGCAACGGAGATGGGTGGTACAAGTGGATGGGCGAGTTGAAGATGACCCAGATGAAGCGGAAGCTTGACGAGGCCGAGGCCGAGCTGGAGAGCTTGAAGAAGCAGAAGATGCTTTCTCCGAATCAATGGCTCGAGGAGGGGGCATCAGCCGAGAAGGCTTCACCTGCACCAGCAGCCGAGAAGGCTTCCAGCTCCGGTGATGTCCCCAACGTGCCAGCCCCAGGGGCTTCGAGTGCAGCCGAGGCAGGCCAGGATGCAGCTTACAACGATTCATCAGCCCACTGGGCTTCATGGACTGACTGGGACAACTGGACCCCACCTGTTCCAGAGAAGGTCTCCGACAGCCAGAAGCAGGAGAGGACGGGGCGGCTAAACAAAATCATCATCAGGGTTTTTCTGTCGTGGGGTTGTTGTTGTTGTTGTTGTTG